CACAGAGAGACTTATTAATTACAACAGATCAATGAGTTTGAGGTTCAGCGATCACACGCAATCACTCAATCACGCACGTTTAATCTGCAACGCCATTTCCAAGAGGGCATCTCGGATTTCCGTCTTCTTCTTCCAGAACGTGTCGACACTAGCGTTCGACTGGGACACATACACCACTTGACCAAAGCCGTTTGTTTCCCAAATGTACGCTGAAAATGGTGAATCCGGCGGTACTCCCATCACACGCCTATAGACACGATCCATCTAAAACGGGGTTGATCGCAAACACGATGTAATTCACAATGCAAGTAGCACAGAAGCATCAATGTCGAAAACTATTCAAAACAAAACTATCGAGGTCACTACGATATGCATCACACCGCATGGTGGGTTGCACTGAGACACCATTCCAGTAATGGAATGCAACAATGGCGACCGAGTGGTCACTCTCGTCAACCGAATTTGATTCAATGGTATTTCATTCTTAACCTTAATGTAAAACGATTTGTGGTCATTTTTTTCGTCGCCCGTTGCCAACACTGCACAATTTTTCCTTCAACAAATATTTACTCACAGGTTGAAAACCCTTTTTCACTGAGCTCCTGAATCCTAAAACAATTTGCCAGGCTCCTAAATCCAGTTTCTATCAAGTTATCGATCTTTTCCGATAATCATCAATCTTTCTCATGCGCACATTTCAATATCTTATGTTTTGTTGTGACCAATGTTGCCTGATGGAAAAAATGTTTATCTTCCCATTGACAGGCGTTTTTCTTCCATTTCACTTAATGTGTCCGTGTTGTTTAAAGAGAAGGGTTACAGGACCGGTGCACAAATGTGATGAAACGATCTGTTGTGACTAGACCTGAAGTCCAATACCTGAATACAATATATGCTGAGACCATTCCTTGTGACAAAATCTGTCCTTTAATGTGATCTTCCTTGCTGCAGCTCAGGGGCTCATGCCTCATCTTTTGCCCCACAGTTAGTGAACTTAAACGTCATTTCAATGTGTCATATGTCTTTAGCAATTACTCACCTGGTTTTCCAACCCAAAAATAAACGGACTCTTCTTCAAACCAGATTTCACAAGCCTGGAGGAATCAAAGTTAACAACCTTCTTCGTGTCGACCTACTAGCACACTACTTGCTGAAGGTAAGCACCGAATAGCTTGTTCTACCAATTGTCAAGCTATTCGGCACGCCTTTCCATTCGCAGCGATCCCCAATCGTTGGAGGTCAGCTCGGGTTTGACCACTCGCTAAGAAACATAGTACCGTCTTGTTGCCTCCTCGTCCTCCTCATACGTGATTGCAGTATTCAACTATAGGGCGGATTGGTGCTTTTGTGCATTAAGGAAATACGTGCCGGGGTGAAAAAGTGCACACATTCACACGCTCATGAACGCACTTAAAAACTGGCTGAATAAAACGCTTTGAATGTTATCTGTTTCTAGTACGATGACCCATTAACGATGACAGTTGGCTCAACTGTTCCCCCAAGTATATCACTTCAAGTTTCATTTGAGAAACGATCACTTTGATTTGCGAAACGCTCACCAGTAATTGAGAGATTAATGATTTAATTAATTTGAGAAAAAAACGCTGTTTTTGGATCCGCTGCCGTTCAGCGCTCCTCAAGGATCATGTGATCACATTTTTTATGGCCGCCTACCGAACCACTCGTTTTGCCACGCTTTTTCTGTGTTGAAATGAGTCTAACCTAAGGAAAACTCCTTTATCGTGGTTTCCAAATTCTTACTGGTTTTCGTTGAAAGGCCGATATTGACACTCGCTCAAGAATTATCAGTTGGCCACTCTTCCTTTCCCGATAATTGATTGTATCACTATACATACTCAATAAATGGAAGTGAAACGGAATAACTGGTTAATACAATTTACAATATTCATGACTGATTTGTCAATCAGCAGTTCGTCAAATCTGAGTCGCGTGATCACCAATCAAGCGCATATTCCGAACACTCAGCCAACACGTACACCGGTCACAACAACAACAAAAACAATAACAATCTAACTGATTAAGCCAACGGTAACAGCGGCCAAGTTGACGAAGACGTCGTATCAGTGAACCGAAGGCAGACCACGTCTGCAGGGACGAACGACCGACAGAATAAGACTACATTGTTTCCCGTGATTAGTCAGGCTTCACTCATGGAATTGTAAACCTTTACCAATCGTGTGTGATTGTGTTTTCAATTTCCATACTGATTGCCACATTTCGCATTGTCCGGTTAGTGTGGCAAATAATGACTTTGCTTAAAAAGAAGCAATAAACTGATCTCTATTAATGGCAGTAGACGACTTTGTTGTCACCCACTCCTGACTTATTGAGGCCCTGTGTCGCGATTGCCAGTTTCATTCTTAAAATGTGAAATGATGGTACAAAATAACTCTCTCTGGCTCGCTCACTACTCACTACACAAACAAACATGAGCTCATCAACAATCGCGAACTGAACCGCAACATTCATTCTCTACACTACCTCACCAATGTTGTTCTCAACCTATTTTGATCGGAATCGGAACCCCTCCCTCAGTGAACATCAACAACCGAAGCCACAAAACGTTTCTCCTTTTCTATTTATTCGATATCGAGTGTTGGCGACTTTACTCGCCAATCAGTAACCGTATCCAAAAATACCGTCTTTTGGTTTTACCAATCCTTAATTTCGCCTGACAACTTTGCTCCAATCATCACTTGCTTGTCCCTCATTATTCACCCAATTGTTGCGAAAACCTCATCTCTTATTTTTCATACTCTGAAACCGAACACTTCTTTGTCACGAACATTAACTGTCTTCTTGGCGAAACTTCAACAAGCCTGGTAGGTATGTGGCCAGTGGCCCATAACCTGCATGGAAGTCCTGACTTGGTGGGAGCTTTCGATTGGAGTTAATAGGTTGTACCTATGTCTCCCGTCGTTGCTGTCGGGCAAATGAACTGACTGACTATCATTAAAGACAACACCCGAACAAACATGAATTGGAAGATTGGTTCAGCCAGGGTATGTGCTGGTTGGCGCAGTGGTAACGCACACGCCTTCCATGCGATGGATCCGGAGTTCAAATCCCGGACAGGACGGTGGATATGCACTACTGATGAGCTCTAATAAGAGCGAAACTCGAGTCTAGTGATTCCGACTGTATGGTTGAATCGATGAACTGAGGACTGTGCGTGAAGGTGAAGTCCGAAGGATAGTCAGTCAAATCAATCAATATCGATCATCCCACACTCACTGCTGAAAAGTAACTGTGAGTTTAATAGGAAATTTCAACAATCACATTCACCAATGATTCACATATTCTTCAGTTGTTTCAACTTTGGGAGTCCACGTCGAACAACATACCTTAACCGTTCTTTGTGGGCATTCGTGCTAACCAAGTTTCACTACACTCGCCAACCCAATCTATCTTGTTCATCGATGATATCTCATCGAAGACTACCAACCCATTTCACGCCTTTATCAATGACGCCCCCTGCACTACCACACGTTGTTTCATACTTTACGCTACGCCAGCGCCAAGATCGGTTGTGACCGTAGAGCAGTTCATTCCAAAAACATCCGGTACGACGACAAGTAGGTAGCATGTAAAATCCCCAGTGTCAATTTTTCGCAAACATTCATCCCACATACACTTATCTTTTGTCTCCACTCAACTATATGTCACAGAATATGTTTCTCCTTCGATTGTTTATAACCAAGTTTTCATGCCAGTCTCCTTCTTCATCGCAGTTTATTTCTTGTGCTGTGCCTGCAGGAAGTATTTGATTTTGCGCGTGACACGCTTTCACCATAGCTCCTATTCTCCCCTTGTACAAAAGCGTTAATCCACCCTGCGCTTGAATACTGCGATCACGGGTGGGGTTCTGCTACTTCCTGAGATCTTTTCCTACTTGATCGTGTTCAACGGGATGTCAGGGGCTACCGTAAGCACGAAACCTATCTCGCCTCTCACTGGGGGTTGAATGAATACCATCAGGATGAGAATCAGGTGTACGCCATTTGCGATGGACAAGGATGAGAAAGGCTGCCTGGATATGTGCACCACAGATTCAAAATCGTTTAGGCAAACATTCTTTGACATGTATTTCGTCGATATCAACCAGAAAACCCTTCGTTATTAATAATGCTCTTGCACAGGATGGGTGCATTGTTCATACAAGAGTCAGATTGATGCAAAAGGATTTGAATGGGTACAGACCCGTTCTATGAGCCACCTATGTCCGGAGACGGAGTGCATAATCAGACGATACAACATTGTAACTGATAAATGCATCTTAAAATTATTTGGAATCAGCGGACAGGAAGCGGAAATGGTATCGGTGCCATTTTGAAAATGGCACCATCTGTGCCAGTCTCGTTACAACCTATTGTAACGTGCCACAACACTTTCCCTATACACATTTGTAGCAGGGGGTACCAAAGAAGCAGTTGTTTTCTGAAAATCCTACAAGCATGATTGGATGCTCTTGTTACACTACTTGTAAAGATCAACCAGTTAGGAAAATTCAATATACCAGTTTATTCACTCAGTTTTGGTCTAATGCCCTCTCTCCGTTTGCCTCCCACCCCACTTTGGAATGGATGTATCTAGTATTTAGATCACCTTTGATCATCGCTCCAGACCATTGCATATTCACTCTTTACCAAACCACTTAACTTCAACTTACTTGAGACACTTCAATGGGCACATGGATATCTGTTTACCCATAGCAGTCGGCATTTGTGACTTTATTCGTATACAGCTTGATATGTTATGGTATAACCCATGTCTCCCCACTGACAGTATTCGAGCATTATTCTCGTCGTATTCACCCCGCCCCCTTCCTCCGCCTTGAGGACACATTTGGTCGTCACAGCATGATGCAATTGGTGACATATCGATACGAGAAAATCTGCTCCATGTCGTCTCGTGTGACCAGCGCTCCCCCTTTTCCCAAACAAGCGCACATTACTCAATTCGCAACAAATTTTATTGCTAATTGTGCCGTACCACTTTCTCCGCTTGTTTTACCGTTTTCTCGACACCGCTTAAATCTGTTCGCTGTTATTTACGCATATCTATTGCCGAATCCCCATGCATATTACCAACACAACAACCCCGGAACTGAGCGACTCTGATTGGTCGGTTTCCTTCCTTTAGATACTTTGTTTGCCTCAGTGTTCCTTATTCATTGGTCTGACGTTGCCTAGCGAGTGGCCAGACTCGGTATCCCATGACTTTTCGATTAGTCCCGCCTGTAT